GTAATACGACTCATACTTATATATATATATATATATGTAGCTGTTGTGTTTGTTTTTGTTTCGTGGCACACGTAACCTTTGTGTGCGTTTTGTTTTTGTGTACATACAGATATGCCAGATGTTAAGTCTATTTCTCATTTTAGCAGATTCAATATCGTAAAATTTTTTACCAAGTACCCAAGTTTAGAAATATCCATGGTTTTTGCAGCCTTAATCCAACAAAACTGTTCTTAAAACTTTTTTTTATTATTTTAACTCTATTACAAAGATGCACTTATTTCTCCTTGATAGCTATTTTTAATTATGACCAAGATTAACTGTCAACTTGACAAAATTTTGCTTTGTTCTAAATAAGTAGTACTTGCGATTTTCAAATATTGTCTAGTATCATTGTTCAACCCAACTCCTAAGATAATGTACTTATCAATTCATTTCCTTTGGCCTCAAGAAACATACATTTTGAGTTCATTGAACCATTTCAAATTAAATATCCATATTATTACAGGACAAGTTACAACTAGTGTCAGTTCTAGGCGCCGGATTGCTCGTAGGGACTGCATTAGCTGTTATTATTCCAGAAGGTGTTCGTGCCTTGTTTAATGGTGCTGTGCAATCTGCAATTAAACCACAGGGTGAAAGCAACGCACACGACAGACATGGTAGATTATACAGAGAAACATCCTTAAACAAATATCGAAAATACTTGTCGAATGAACTAACTGTGAGTTTTATTTTTTCTTTCCATCAGATCTTCACAGTTTAATAGGCTTAAGCCTGGTGTTAGGTTTCGTTTTCATGTTATTAATTGACCAATGCTCGACAAAGCGAAGTGGTGGAAAGGAACGAAGCGTGACAGCCACACTCGGCCTCGTCGTTCATGCAGCCGCGGATGGAGTTGCCTTGGGAGCTGCGGCGACGACGTCACAGGCTGATGTCGAGGCGATAGTATTCTTGGCGATTATGTTGCACAAAGTAAACAAATTTAATTATTTCTATAAATATTTTTCAACTGTTTTAATTAATCTGTATATTAATAAATTATAAGGGACTAAATGAAAGAAAATTCTTTAAAATACTTAAATCGTTTTTCAGGCTCCAGCAGCATTTGGACTCGTATCTTTTCTTCTTCATGAAGGAGTAGAAAGAAGGCGAATACAAAAGCATCTGTGGGTATTTTCGTTGGCGGCCCCGATTTCAGCCCTAATTACGTATTTTGGAATTGGAAAGGTAAGTTATTACGTTTATACCTATTGTAAAACAAGTTTTGCTAAAAAAGTTAATTATTTTTAGGAAGGTAAAGAGACCCTTAGCAACGTGAACGCGACAGGTTTGGCTATGTTGTTTAGTGCGGGTACATTTTTATATGTAGCGACAGTACACGTTCTGCCAGAATTGATGACTAGATGTAATAACGGTAATTACTCACATTTGCCAACGGACACCCTTACAACACCTTCTTATGGACTCAAGTTCAAGGAGATCGTAGCACTAGTGGTTGGTTCCTTTTTACCGGCTCTTATCACAACGGGTCACCACCACTGATTATTGTTTCCATAAACAGCTTGAGAAGTAATTTTTTACTCTACTCGGGTGTTGGTAGCTTAGTTGAAAGAGCTATCAGTTGGAGATCCAGTATTTTTCCAGCAGAACCGACGTTTTATCGATTTAAATCATGATGAAATGTTATTTGTACATAGGTGATTCAAAATAATATTTTTTAATGACTTATTTGGATAAATAAACACTAGATGATTTATTAAGTGTAAATTTTAATAATTATAATGGTAAACATTCAGGAGTGGTTTTATGTACGTTGGATATACACTGTTAGTTAGATCTAGTTAGCAGACATAAATAGTTCTATTTTATTTTTCTGGGATAAAATGTTAATTTTGATGTTAAGCAATTTTTCATTTTTATTGACAAAGTGTCTTAGAAGTGACAATTTTAACATAAGTTAAATACAAATACACTTCAACAATCTATGTTACATTAATTAAATAATATATCATTGAGAAAGTGTACCTGTAGTACTAGAAGGTATTTAGCCGAATTATAATTGAACAGCTAGACACAGAATTTATATGACCATGGAAAAAACTATAACTTATTTATGTGATAATAACAATAAGTCTTTTAAAATAAATTACAAATTTTTTATTATAAAACTTTTGTGAAAACATTTTTGTTATTCATGAATTTGCGTTCTTTTTCATGTTTATAAATGATTATTTTATACATGTGTACATTTTTATAGTCAACTACTTTTTGGTGGTACTTTCATATATAGGAGCTAGTAAACATATTTTTTTGTTAAATTGGCAATAGACCAATATTGTTTTACTTTCTGTGATTCTCGTGTAATGTAAAAAAATTATCATCTCATAAGAATATTTCAAACTTTTATTTATAAATTTCTTTAAACAAAAATATAAACTCTCATGATGACATATTAAAAATTAATTTTTGAGCAGGCTTAAAAAAATTACCAATTATTGAAAAGATTTAAATAGGAAAACAAGTTTATTGATCTCAAGTATAAATGTTCACAATCGACTTGCACTCAGTTCATCTTTTGCCAACTCTTTTTATGAAAAAGTTAAGAAATTACTTGCGTCGTTACAAAATAGTTGAGAACACATTTGTAAGTAACCAGATGAATTATAACGTGAGTATCTCGGTAGCCCGTGTCTCGAGTAGACCTTCCATCGAATTAACGTCTTTGCACCAGCCTTCTAAACGCTGAACCATTCCCGTAATTTGAGCGCGATCCAAGACTCGTGGCTGCACCCACGTCATATTTACAGTGCTTGCAACTTGATCAATGGCTCCTCGTACCAGATCTTGAGCTAAAGCTTTCATCACCAAAAGTTCAACTTCTCCAAGTGGTAAGCGAGTTTCTTGAGAAATTTCAGCAAATGTCAATTGCCTAAATTAATAACTTGGATTAGAAACTTACGAGTTATATCTAAGGTTAAATGACAATATCAAAGTCTTTACAAACCTGTTGTTGGCCTGACGTTTGAAAGTCATCTCCATCAAACAGAGCAACGAAATCTTTTGCCGAAGTTTTAATTCTTGCGCAGCCAGATCAGCAACCTTGCTCCATTGTGGCTTTAGCCTTTCCAAAGCAACAATATCTCCGCTGTTGAATGCTTGCAGCAAGTCAACTAACCAAGAGTTTGGTGTTTCCTTGAGCGACTCCAACACTGGATGAGCCAATAGTTCACCAAGATTATAAACACCTTCTCCCAGAAGAGCTGCAAGTCCTAAGAAGAAAGCATGCTGTTCTTGTTCTGACTTACTTAAGGTATTCAGATCAATGCACCCTAAGTACCTGCCAAATTAGATTAAGTAACATTGAGTTGAAATCTTATTTCATGTTTTTTTTTTTTTTTTTTTTTAATCTGATAATTACCTAAGAGCTGTTCTGTAATACTCAGCATGTTTGCCTTGTATCCTGTACAAGCGACTGGCCAAAAGGTAAAATCTATCATGGACTGTTGTGACACCATCACTCGAATCAAGTATGATTTCAACATCATCGATGATTTTCTTGGTTTCATCTTGAATATTTAGATCATCCAACAATATTTGACCAATGAGAACTTTGCAGAGAGCTACTGCTTCCTTGTGGTTTTTTACTTTTGGTTCTGTCTTTTCAAGAAAATTTATAGCAGCACGTTTATCTTTGTATTGCTTTACTACGACAGCCAAAATCTCGATCAAAGACAATGGATTGATTCTGCGGAATAAAAGTATCAGTGTATGAAAAAATACGCACGATTAAGGTGTTGAACTTGAATTGTAGGTAAGAATCAAAAATATTATTAGTAAGTAGTATTCCATGTATGGACAAAACAAAACCAGGGATCACTCATTACAATGACACCAGCAGAAAACAGGTTATGTTGACATAAGCGGCGACGCTAACGAACCGCTTGGTAAATAAAACACAACTCACTTGCTCTCGAAGGTGGCGAGGAAATTCGTGTAGAGTTCGATGAGTGCTTCGTCCTGTTGAAGAGTCGGGTGCTTGACGAAGACCTCCAGTTTTAGGGTGAGCTGATGCCAGAGCCTACAAGTCAGGACGATGAGAATGCAAATTTTGGATCCATGTCAAAAAAGTGTGTTGGGCACTGCTTACATACTTTTTGTTGTACAGCTCCTCGAGTTGGAGCCACTCTGCTGTCAGCTCCCGGTCGGCAGATTGCTGTTGCTGCTTTTCTTTCAGATAGGTTGTCACATCCTTCGGTGCACTCGGTGCGGCCATTTTTTTATAAATTTAATTTATATTTTTCCACACTTTGTTTACTACAGTATACTGGTGTACTGGGTGCTCCGCCGTGCTCTACTTCGCAGTCCGACGTTCCTTCGTATAGACTCGTAGTTTTATACCAATTGTACCATTCGTACTTCTCTTTCTCATACAAAACAGCTGATTCTTGCGTTTTGGAGCTATGAGGTGACGTTCTCATGACGGCGATGCGATTTTCCGTTCACAAGAGAGGCAGGCTTCCCCGGATTTTATGCTTTTATCATGATATGTTCAAACGAGTAATGTTGTACCTTTTTTTTATAAATATTCTACAGTTTTTAGAAGTAACAATAAACGATACATTTATGTAAAAAGTAAAAACAATACTTACAATTTCAAAAAACCGAGCAATTTTTTTTTTTTTATGATAGCATTCATAAATGCAGACAATAACTGTAGCACATATGTTTAAATAATCATCAGAATGACTAAAATAACTATTTTCTTGACAAAGTTTAAATTCACGATGGAACAAAAATATAGCAAAGTAAAGTCCTCAAAATTATAAGTACATGGAATTTGAATTTAAAAACCGCTTGCAATTTACTGTTAATAAAAAAATTTATCAAGCAAAAATCCTATTATTAATAAGTATACATAACTTATTATTCAAGTATGGAATAGAACAGTTTTAAAAGTCTGTACTGGTACCATTTAAGAATTGCTTCATTGCTTGTTTAAAATTCAAAAAGTTCTGTTACACGTTCGCAAAATTTTCGAATATAAGCAATCGGCTCTTCTCATTTGAATTTTTTTTCTCTTCCCCGAAAATTCGATACTTGCAAAAACCGGCAAGTGGTCGCTTTCTCCCCTTAATCCCCGTGTTAAACCCTCTTGATCTGGCCATTCTAAAAAGTCCTTCAGTGTCAACTTGGTCGTTCCCGGTGGAACATCGATATTTTTTTTTTCCGGAGTCGAAAGCCTCGCAGGTGCGATGCCTAAAAATTTGTCTTTAAAATTCTAAATTAAAAGTACCGAAACACTTATTCTGTTAATTGATCATCAAACAACTTTTTTTCGCGAGTGAGTGATCATTGTTGAATATACATTGTCGATTGTACGAGCTCGATTCCTGCAAAGTGTTTTTTTCGTTGATGTGCGTATATGTATCCTACATTTTTTTTCATACCGCAGATTCTTGACATACTCTAAAAGTGTCATTCGTTTGATTACGTGACTGTTATTATGCACCTATCGATGTAATTTCTAACAATAGGGCCGCGATAGTAAGTAGATAGTAAGAGGTATTTTTTTTTTATTTGCTCCGATTCGTGGAAGCGCACGGAGCTCGTGCTTCGACATTCGACCGCGTCTACCTTTTTAAAAACGGTTTCTAAATGTAATATATATATTACTTATTTAACTGTATTTTTAGTTCCATATCTCTGATCGTATTTTTTTAGTATCATTACCTATAAGTACTCGGTGTGTGCGGGTACTTCGGCGAGAAATGTTTTTTTCGGTGGATCTTCTGAGTAAAAGGAAAAATCGGAATGGCCGGCTGCCGTTTTGCTGGGCAGCCGCTATGTCGACGAATAAGATAAAGAAAAAAGACATCGAGAGCTTGGACGTCGTAGCCGCTTGGTAAAAATATATCTTTGTTTGTTTTTTTTATCCTCGTATGCGCGTATATTACAAAGTTTGGGCGGGGAGGGGTAGGAGGATTTTTTTTTTGGAAATCAGAATGATTTTATTTTATATTCCAGTGACGACATTATCGAGTGCTTGATCGGGCCTCCAGAAAAACGCATGGCTTTGCGAACGGCGTCACAACTATCGCTTGGAGTTTTGAAGATTTACGAAAAGCAGGTCAAGAATCTGGAACATGACTGTAGGGAGCTGCTTAAAAGCATTATAGAAAATAAAGATGGAAAACAAACGAGGTAAGATACGTATACGCATATGTATGTGCTTTTTTCTGTAGATGCATTATTAAACAATTAACGAGCCTTGTACAATTTTTTCAGTCAAAAATCTATACCATCGTCCCGTGAGTTGACTGAACAAAATTTAATTGACATGTTTCCGACTAACAGGAAAGACACGCATCAAATTGTTGAAGTGACCTTACCGAAGGCAAATGTAAGGATTGTTGATAAACAGTGATATAAATGAACATAGAATTGATTAAACAATTGCTTAATGCAAACTCATGTTTTTAGATATTTGATGCCTTTCCTGAGCTACCGTCTTTCTTTGATAATAACGAATATCAAGCTTCAATTGATTTAAGGTACAAAAATTTACTTATAATTGAAAAAATAATCAATACATGTCCATGTACAGAAAAATTGTAAATTTTTCTTTTTTAATACCAAAATGATTTTAGATTAGGTCCTGCTCATCAAATAATTACTGAAATACCAGCAGGATTAGGTGCTCTCGGAGATGATTCTTCAATGAGCGAGATAAGATTTCATCAGGCACCCAGTGGTAACTATACAATTCTGGCAAATACAAGTTATTTTATAAATTAAGATATATTCTAATGCTCAGTTTATTCTCTTTGAAGTAGGGGAAAGAGACTTTGGTGAAGCAACTTCCACAGATTTGCCAGAAGTTCCAGTTACACCATCACGTCATCCAAAGCGCAAATCTACAAGACCACATAACGAAACCCCCACAAAGAAAAAACCTGTAAGCATTCATATTAGTTTTCAGCTTCAGATATGATTCATTATTTATACAACGAATGTAGCTTATAAAATTCCTTATTGTAGGGAAAACTTGGCGATCGCATTCAATTGACACCCTCGCGGCCAATAACTGGTGTATGTACTTACTTTTTTTTAAGAAAACTTTTTTGACTTTCGTACCCTCGAAAGTTTTTAAGTACATTTTCTTTCTCACATAGATCCCAACAGCGGTGTCATCGCCATCTGAATCAGCTAGAAGTCCAATACAGAATCGCAAGGGTCATTCTCGTAGGTCACTAATGGTAGATTTCACAGAATATGCAGATACAGCCGATGTTCCCATTACCGAGGCATCGATTCCGACAGCTTATCCAGAAGGAGGAGAAAGTAAGTTTGAATAAATTTGGAAATTTTTACTTCTATACCAGATGAATAAACTACCTATCGTTATTTTTAGTCGATCTCCTCGGAGTCCCTCAAGCATTTGCTGATCGTTTTTCGCCTCCAACTGATACTATTCCATTGCCTACGATATCTCACGTTGAACAAGCACTAAAAACTGGAATTGTGACACATGAAAATTTGGAACCCATGGATGTAGACGTACCAACAGTGAATGCAAGGAAGTCGCTGCAGGATGATCAACTCGTTATAAATGATAATGAAATACAAGAACAAAATATCGTGGTTGTTGAAAGGGAGCCTCCGCAAGATGTCATTGAAGCGCCCAATGAAGATCTACAAAAATACTTGCCTCCTTCAGCGTAATTTTTACAGTTTTTTTATTATAAGTTATACAAATTGACAAATAAAGGAATAATCTGAAATCTTTCGATGCATATCGAGAACCATAAAATAATGAATGAAATTTTCAAGTATGCCTGTACCACCAGTTATTCCGCCATCGACTAGACAAGATCACTTTGAATTGGAAGAATTAGATGTTACGGCATTGGATGTACGAAGAAGACACAGCCGGAATAGAAGACTTCCGTTTTTGGACGAAGAAACACAGATTAGGCTTGAAATAAATGCAAATATTCATACAAAGGTAAAATCTTATGTTCGGGTTGATTTCAGTCTAACATTGTATTATTGCTTAATGTTTCTCTTTATCATTGCAGAAGAGTGCAAGCTCTACACTAGTTAAGAAAAGTTTTATAGTACCAGCAAAAGTATTATTAACTACACCGTGTACTCGCCTTAGCATGGTCAGTAATTTAAAAAATAAGCCTTATTGTATATGGGCAGCTCCTTTGTATAACAATTTTTCAAAGATCCTCGAAGCCAGAGAACCTCGTAATGGTGAGCCGTCAAAAGTTACAAATACAAAAAAAATTCATCGAAAGTTAATTATTATATGACCACACGATCAATAATTATTAAACTGTGATATTTATATAGGCATGCCTAGATCTTTTTCACCTTCCGCAAGTCGACGATTCACAGAACTGGATATTCATAGAACTCTGGTATCGCGACTACAATCTTCAACAAATTCCTCAACTCAACAAGCATCGCCTTGCAAGCAACAAGCGTTGCCTGCTGTGCAAGCGCTACCGCAAGAGACGAGCAATGCACTAGAACCACACGAGCCGCTACCGGATGTATCGACTTCCAGGTTGTGAAAATTGTCGTTTCTAAAGTCATATATATATAATAAATTCGAGAGTTAGTCATTAATACATGATTTTATGGAAACAGGCATGTCGAAATGACAGTGACACCACCAAACATATCGCACCTTAATATACCTACAGAGCCACAACCATTAGAAGTCGAAGATGCGTTTCCTGATGAAGTGCTCCAACAACCTGTGGAAGAAATAGCTACTGAACCTCGGTAACTTTGAAATTAGTTTCAATAAAAAAAAAAATCATAAGCGCTGTATTGTACTTATCTAATATTTTTTTCAATACAGATCACATAGACAGCTTAAATCTCGCTCATCGTCAACTATGACACCTCATTATTTGAAAAATACCATTGAAAAGTTATGGATGATTGCTGAAAGTTACATTCAAGACAAGAATGAAGATACAGAGATCGTTATTGAGCTCGACGACGTCATACCTCCGACAGAAACATCAGTTGTCGAACTCATTACGTGTCTTTACCACTTGAGTCGTAAGTATAGTGGACCTGATTATTTCGTGATATCGATTTTCCTCAGAATTTACAAAAAAAAAAATAAATAATTTTTGCAGGCATGGAAAAAGATTCCATACTAGAGCTGAGACAAGATGAGCCATATGATAAAATATACATAATCAAAGAAAAACCAGACAGTGACTCTGATACGTAGCAATACTTCGTATCTGATGCAAATTATTAACATAAAACTTATACTTTAAATTATAGTTAGTTATATTGTAAATTATAAAAGTCATACTTTACGTATATATTTTCTAAAACACACTACAAAAATTATTGTTAAAGAATGTACTTTCTAAATGTGTGAATGAAATAGATTGTGTGCACTTATGAGTTTTAATTGTACATTTAATGGTTGAATCTTCAAAAACGCTAAATGCTTGATAAATGAAATGACTTTACCAAAGTACGAAAATTTTATTGTAAATAAAGATTTTAAACTACTTTACAAAATCATTAACAAGAAAAAATTAGTTTGAACATTTTAGTTGTATTTATTTACACAGTATTATAGAAATGTTTTACAGTTGTGTATTTTATCACATAATAATTTTATGTACATACACACTTCAGCGTTTAGAGAACTGATAATTTGTAATGAATTTCACGTATATAAAAATTACAATCAATAATACGCGTGTGACGCGTAAAAGCGAATGTACTGTCGATTTGATTTAGGATTATATATATAATTAAAATGACAACCATTGTGTTTTTTGTATGCTTTAACACTATTCAAACAACATATTTATACAAAATTTAAATAAAATATATTGAAAAATCGTATACTTTTAACAATTCATTTGCAATGCCAATTTCATTTTACGTGATGATAATAACATTATTATAACGTGTAAAGTTTTATTTAAAAACCATGGCACTAAAGTTAAATTAACTAATTTAAACTGATAATAATACTATCAACATTTTCAGAATAATAACCAGAGTGGAAATTGAAAAAAAAACGAATTGTCCCAAAGGCCGGAAAGAACTTTTCTGCCCGCAATTAAACGGCCATAAACTTTCTTTACATTCTGGCCGTGCAGGAGATCCAAAAAACCATGTTCAATCCACGGCCGGAAGTAATATGAAACCTCAGATCGTCCATAATTATCATCCTCGTCTTCGCCCCGGACGATCACACTTTTTCTTTACTTTTCCGGTTTTGGATTGTAATACGACTCATACTTACCATAGCGTGGCTCAAATTTTTTTTTCTAAAGCACATTCTACTAATGTACAGTAGAGTCCTAGTGAACACTACAGTAGATGATCTGGCCTTAGTTTAAAACTCTCGATGATGATTATTAGTCATACTCTCGCCTTCGTCCTGCTTGTAAACACGTGATCTAACTAAATGTAAATAGTGGTGATCCTCTAGGGAAAATCCAGGAAATCCTATGCTAGGATTACTTTCTAGTGACAAATGAGAATGGTTAATGTCTAATGTGCACAATGTGTGCAAGTTCAATCGCTGCTCTCTCAAATGTGTCTGACATATTTGAATTTCACTCAAGTTTAGCGCGTACTGTGCATAGTTTAGCTCTATCTCTCTCTCTCTCTCATATCATAACGTGCGTGTCGTGTGCTGCTCCCTAGTGGTTGAGCTTGCACATGCACACATCAAGTCTAGCATTCTCATAGCGCGAAGCTACAATTTATCAGGATAAAAAATCAGCTAATTCAACATAACAGTTGATACGGAAAGGCAGTAATTTACCAATAAAGTTTCGAATATGTATTGTGTTTGGTGGATCTTCATAATGCATTTTTCAGTTTACTCCCCTCACTTGAGGTATAATTTTTATCGTGAAAACTCTCGCGTAGATCATTTTAATTTCGTAGACTGCTATGGTAAACGAAAACAAAAAAACTTGAAAAAATAGCTATTTAACACTTAGTACTTGCATTACTAACATATTTTTAACCATCAGAGCTACATTACTATTGTATACTGTCTGGCAGTGCATCGCTATACATTAATATCGTCGGTTTTAGAGTGGAAAAATGTGCTGTCATCAGGAGCGTTCGTTTCAAAATTGCTAAGAAATTTTCACTGGATATGGATTGAGAGTATTCTATTGTTGTTTTTGGGACGAACGATCCAGATGCGCCCTATATCAATTCGATTTTCATTCAAAATTTTTACGTTATTGATCAATTGAACAAGTATTCCTTTTAATGCGAAACACGTACGTAATCGTCTCTTTTGTTTGTGTTATAATAATTAGTTTTTTAATTGGACAATTTTAACTAAATGGTTTTGAATGAAAATTGAGATGAAACTTGATAAAATCCTTTTGAAATGAACTAGATAGCACACTCTTCCAAATAGAACAGATAAATGAACTGATTTTTTTTTTTTTTTTTTCCTATAAGTACCATCTAAAATGTACCTATCTCAAGTTGTAAAAGGCATCAAAGCAATTTAATTATCATGATGAAGTAAAACATCATTGATGAATTATTTATGAGATTTTATATACATGTATTAAATTTCAATGCGACTGATTATTTGCTGACAAGTTTGCAAGGATGATTAATTTTTCAGATATTTTACAAAAAGTATTCAACGTCAGCGTTGCCGTGTACTTATAAAAAAAAAAGTAATTGTCACGTTGAAGATCTCTGGAAAGACTGTATTATAAGTAGTATGGCGAGTCTAGGGGGAGTCTCGCAGTCACGCACCCGGTGAGTTTTACTCTGCTCTCTGCATGATGATCAACAACAGAAAGAGAAAACGAAGAGGGAACAACTTACACGACAACACATAAAGAGAAAGATAAAGAGAGAGAGAGAAGGGAGCGAGCGCGTCTCTCTGATGCGAGAAAAAATATAACAAGTCAGCATCAGCATTTCAGCCATAAAGACCCGCACCCGCGCGCGCGCAGTGTGAGTGTGTGCGTTGTGTGCACATATGCACATACACAGTCCATTCACATATATATTCTCTCCCCCCTCTTCTGTCCTTCTTTTTTCACCTGAATCCGGCCATCATCCGGCGATCCTCACGGCTCAGTGCCAGGCGGTGCGTTCGTGTGCCTATACGCGTAATTAAAAGGTACATTTGATTTGTTGTCCTTTTAATAAAAAGCGTTGAATAAACAAAGTAGGAGTTGAGCAACAAAAGACATGTCGGCCAAGAGAAAGAGCACGACTGGCAAGAACAAGCCGAAAAAATCCCGCAAAGTCGAGTACGACGAGGAGGATATTTCGAGCGAGCACGAATCCGAGGTTGAGGACGAACAGGCCCAGCTGCAGGCCCATCAGCAGGATAATCACGTAGCAGATGCCGAGGACGCCCACGAGGACGATCTCGCCGATCTCGCCAGTATTCCCGAGCTTCCCGCGCCTGAGGTATAGTATACTTGTGGATTCATTTTTTTTTTCTCTTTTAATTTTCATATAAGTAAATACACCCATCCATAAATCTCTCTCCTCTTCCAGGGTTGTTACATTTTTTTTGTATACCTATATACAGGTACACCCATCTCTGTACCGCTTATACCGAATATGAAGCGTCTCCTTTTTCGCTCTCTCTCTCTCTCTCCCTGTGTGTCTCTTTCTCTCTCGCTTGTATTGTGTGCTTTTATTTTCATGTCGGCCGGCATGTTTGGTTTGTTATGGTTTTATCATAAAAGTTTGACAATTTTATTACATCGGAGAGGCTGGGCTCTTTAAACGGATGGCATACAATGATTGATTGGTCCGGACAATGTTTGTCGGGGATTATGTTTTTTTTGGATTAAAACAATCGGTGATGGGGGTTGCGGCATTACTCATTAGTGTGTGTGCGCGCGTGCGGTGGTGGCGGTTATTTTTTTTAGTTTTCCACTGTATTATATAGTACAGTATTCAGTAGTCTTCTTGGAAAGAGCGAGACAGACGTATATACACTGGAAAACTAAATTTTGAATGGTAAAGAGGTGCAGGAAACTTTAAATTTTAAAGCGGTTGTTCAATGATATTTTTTGTTTTGTTTTTGTCACTACCACGTAGTGACATGTTAGTATTTTTACTGACAAGTTAGTCAATTGTTATGACAAAACGAGAAATAAAAAGCTTTAATGAAAACTAAATAGAAAATTTTATTGCCTTACTGTTAAAATGGTAAAAAATATATTAATTCTCAGTATAATAAGCCGTTTTACTAATTCAAATTATTTGTTTGAAAATTCAAGGGAGGATGGGGCAAGCTTGGAACCTTGCTCATGTGTGGTCTCACCAATTGGGACATTGCTGGACGAAAGGCACCACCTAAAGGTTCAAAGGTGAATATCGGACGCAGTTTATGGACCCCTCACACGTTCAAGAATCTCAATGGAGCCAGAGTGAGATTGGTAGCTTCAGGACCTGCTGCTTCTCACAGCGTGGTTGTCACGGAGGACAATAAGTGTTTAGTATTTGGAAGAAACGATAAAGGTGTATGATCTTGAATGAAATTCTTTTGCGGTTTGTACATTTTGAAAAATCATCTAAAAAATCACTTGTTCTTATTATTAGGGCAATTGGGAGTTGGTGATGAAAAACGGCGCGATGATCCAACGGAGGTTGAAGCCTTGAAGGGCCACACAATCATAGCAGCAGCTTGTGGTCGTAATCATACCCTGTTTCTTACGAGTCGCGGTATAGTCTTTGCTGCAGGTGACAACAAGTTAGGTCAGTGTGGGGTTGGAAAATCTGATGCCACAATTCTCACTGCCACTAAAGTAAAGTATAGCGGTCCTCCTATCATCAAAGTCGGCTGTGGAGCCGAATTTTCTATGATCTTGGACGTTAAAGGTAGTTAAATGAACATTTAAAAAAATATTTATTCTCAGCAATCAAAATAAAACAGTAATACTGTAAAAATAACGCTTCCAACACTATTTCAGGTGGACTGCATTCCTTTGGAAGTCCAGAGTATGGTGCATTGGGTCATAATACAGATGGCAAATACTTCATTACAAGTACAAAGCTAGCCTTCCATTTTGAAAAAGTTCCGAAACGTATTGTCATCTACGTCGAGAGGACAAAGGATGGCCACATCACGCCTCTAGACAGTGTCGAAATTACAGACTTCAGCTGTGGCTACCACCACACTGTAGCAATCGATAGCAGGAGCCGTGCCTTTTCCTGGGGCTTTGGTGGTTTCGGTCGTCTCGGTCATAACGAGCAGCGTGACGAGCTGGTACCTCGTCTCATCAAATTTTTGGAGCCACCAAGTCGTGGCGTCAAGGCTGTTTTTTGCGGAAGCACTTTTAGCCTTGTTTTGAACGTTCATGGTAGCATGCTGCTGTTTGGCCAGGCGAAGCGCACCGGGGAAGCAAATATGTACCCCAAACCGATTCAGGATCTGTCTGGCTGGGACATTAGATGTGTTGCTTGCTCGCAAACCAGCGTTGTTGTGGCAGCTGATGAATCGGTGATTGCTTGGGGCTGCAGTCCTACATTTGGTGAACTGGTAAGTATCAAGGTTAATTAAAAAAAAAAAACTTATGCAAAATAGCAGTAAACTCGTAATAAAGCTCTTCGTATTTCCACAGGGATTTGGTGAGATGAGAAAATCATCGACAACTCCAATGGAAGTGAAAGCTCTGGAAGGAATGTACATAACAGCTGTAACTTGTGGGCTTTCCCACACTCTGATGATCTGTCGTGATGAATTGGAAGAAGATAAAGCAAAGATTGCAAAACTCCAAGAGTATTCAGTTTAAGTCTGAGTGTAGCAACGAAAAATCGCCAGAAAATAATTGAATGTACCGAGTTTTTCACTGTTCTAACAGGAATTTATTGAATTCGAGTTAATCACAGTGGTATTTTATCTTTATTTAAACATAGCAATTGATACTTTAAAACAGTTTTGAACAAACAGCTTGAGTTTAAGATTATTTAACTTGGCTTTAATAAATAAACAAACAATATACTTTGAACTGGGTTTACTAGGATCATATTTTACTAGTTTTATTTAAGTTTCTTTTAATAGTGCTTTTTTCAAGTGAACATAAATTACCAGTGGTGTTTGATAAGATAAACTTAGAGTTAATGACATTGTGAAACGTCCATGGGTTTGTCTTCTATATACTACTTGTACTTCCGTATTACACAAATACTTATACAAACTTGTGAAAAAACAATAGGTTAAACGAAAAAAGCTGATATTCTATCAAGAGCTCTGATTGTAGACTTAACGGGTATATATGAAGCATATATATTTTGATACATTAATGTTTTATTAAAGTTGAACGTAAGTCGGTACCAAACAAGAGTACGGCAATGTGTGCTGGTTGTTATTCAATTTTATCACGCATTTTAGTCGTTGAAGAAAACATTTTCGATCAAATTTATTCCTATTTTACTTTTAATAATATTACGAAATTATTTAATAGTTGTACTATTTAAAAAGAAAAATGTTTACTATATTTATAGTATTATTTTGACATGTGAGTATGTAGTTTGTTAAAACTAGTCACCAGTCAAAGTAACTTATGTAAATATATGGCAATGATTTTTCAATCATTTAATTATAAATTTCACAAAGACTTAACAGTAAATTCTCTGTGATTGTAACATGAAATGATTACTTATTATTGAACCGTCACGAGTCAATTTATATTTAACTTTCATTATATCACTTATTCTTATGGAATGAAGCATCGTACTTTGTAAGTAGAGACAGTTTTAAAAGCATTAATCGTAGAGTTGTACATTTTTGCTGGTAATAACTCTTTTATTGTATCAGGTGATTAAAAAAGTACTAAAATTTGCTTTAGGAAAGGTAATAAAAAGTCTGAAAGTAATTTTAAAGGAAAATGATCAGAGAAAAAATTTCGTGGTCAATTATACAGTATTCAGCGTAAATGTCATACATTTTCTCTATGCGCGTTTTCGATTTCGAGAACGATATACACATGGCAGCCGTGCTCGAGTTATGGATTACTCTATTTTTTAAGCATTTAAATCTTTATACACTTTTTCTTTGGACTTGTGATTAAAATACAATCACTGCCAAGATACTATGAGTGTCTTTCTATGCGATGTCTTAACATTTGCCCATTCCATTATCTTTTGGGTGCAGTCAGTGCGCTCGAGATATTTCTTATTCAAACACATAGGTGACAAATGTACAAGACTCATTAAATACAATGAAATAAAACCCTTTTTATTAATTTTTGCTCTATAATTGTCACTTACTCGTTTCCTTTATCAAAATCTTGTTGTTGAGTAATAAAAATTAAGGTAGTATTTTCAGGTATCCAATTTTCCAATCCGACAAATCCTTGATTAACGTTATCCCGTAACACCTGAGCCACATTCACAAGAAAGTTGTCTAGAGCTTGATTTAACAGAATTTTGTTTAGCCTAGGAAGATATTTGTTACAATTGTTATCTTTTTATACGCAATCAAAGTGCCAAAATTAAACATTACAAGAAATCGCTCCCTTTTCGTTGTAGCATCATTCACGTAGTTGATTATTTTATTTTGTTCTGGTAAATCGAGATAATACTTCCAGCGAATGAGCTGACAAGCTGTATAGTGAATTGGGTCTGTTGGATTGTTGACTAACACTCGACTTAGTGCCCAAGTCAAAGGAGCCATTAAATTTTCTCTAAAAAAAGAAAATTCAATCAACAGAATTAAGTTGGGATAAATATTGAAAATTCCTCATATCACCTCAAATAAATTGTTTCCTCTGATATAACTTTTTTTTTAGCTTCAAGATTTTGCAAAATGACCGATGGTTCTTTGCATGACAAATGCTGAGTAAAATTCGTTTGTACCTGTGACATTTTTTAAAATCTTAAGAACAAGTTCACTTTTCCCCGCTAATTCAAAGATGACTCACAAAATCCTCATTCGTCTCATTGAATTCAAAGAAACCCAATTCATTGAGTACTTCGAGTGCTTCTTCGCTGAATCCATTTGTGGAAACGAACTTTATCGTACTCTCATCGATGCCTAACTTTTCCAAGAAAGAGATAAGTTTATCCGATGGGCATAACAGTGGGCTCTGCCAATTAAGAATTCTATTTGCAGCAACGTCGTTCAATGACAAACGAAAAATATCACAGTTGCTTTGATTCACTAGTCCAGACAAAATCATACTCCAACAATCTTCCTCATTAAATCCAATGTCGCTTAACTTTTCCAACAGTTTCCGGTCAACATTACTAGGTATACCGTCACTTTGATATCTTTATAAATTAAATACATTAGAATGTTGATATGTGGAAAGATAATTGGTAAAATAAAATAAAAAATAATTTTTAAATACAGTAATTCGTCAGGAGTGATGTTAAAAGCACAAAACGGAATTATCTCATCGGGTTGAAGATTCAGAAGTCCACGTTTCATAGCCTTCATGATGTTTTCCTTGGACATGCCTGACCAAATTTTAAATTAGCGCATAAAAAAGATAAAAGTAATATATGCTTTATCGAAAATTTACCATGTCTTAAAAGCTTGGATATGACAGCTTTACTGAAAATCCCACGATTGATGAGAGTATTTAGTTCTTGATAATAACTTTTCTCATCAACACAAGCGTGCTGAATGTCTCTCCATAATTTATTTTTCAATAAAACCAAAGACCGCTCGTGACTTGAATTGCCTGCGTCTTTCAGATCATCATGTATTATAGTGACGGGTACGCACGTAAAGTTTTCTAAAATCTGGGAACTCATTATTTTAAGAGAATCAAAAAAATATTAGACGTAATTGATTGTCATGAAATTGAACACTATAATTCAATTGTTTAGGAAAAAAATGTAATGATCACAGTTGCGATATCAAGTCATCACACAGCCGTTTGCCAAAGTTGGGATTAAAAATCATGAATCTAATGATTGATTTCATGCAAAGGCCACTTTATTTACAAATAAATATCTTACATTATTTCTGTACATGAAATTTATTGTTTACCAGTCTTACTCTAATAATATGTTTCATCCAAATATTCTTTATATCACTAGATTAAAGATCGTGATTACTTTTTATACATGTAACAACTTAAAAAGCTCTAGTAACCAAAGTGACATACATCGCATTACTTTCATCCTTCACATTTAAAAACATCATTTACAAAAGCTATAAAATTTTTATTTAACAAGTCTTACATGCTCATGCTTTTTGATGCTTATAATAGAAGGTTTCCCTAATGAATTATAAATCTAAAAAGTATTTATAGCAAAAATTATTTAGTTTTTTTTTAATATTTCGTTTTTAGTAAAAATGTTAAAATTTAGATTGTTTTAAAAAGCTCAAGCTTAATAAATTTTAATTACTTAATGATTGGGTAACGTAAAAAATACAACAGCGGGCTGTTTATTTATACAAATTATACAGCAATCTTACAATATTAATAAAAACGCATAACAAATGTTTTCCAGCTTATTCGATTTACAGAGCGTCTTCAAACAAAAGCAAAAACTCGTTTTCGATTGGAGAATAAGTTGTAACGATGTCGATGCCAGCATTCACCTGTTTAAGCGCAGAGCAGACCCAGGCAATGCAAAAAAATCAGTGCACCTGAACAGGTATCAAACAGCAGGTGAAAACAAGAAAAAAGGATAGGAGAAAGCTCCGAAGAAGACGAATAAAAAAAAGGAAAATAAAAAACAAGCTTTGGATGTTTGCAAGAAAAAAACATACAACAGGTTTGCGGGTATCGACCCTGGGGTTATTATTCCTCTGGATGTACATTCTGTCGATGTAAACAAAAGGAAAGAGGCCAAAGAGTCCCTTACGGCAGTAGACCCGAGAGGTACCAATTACGTTGACCTCATTAGATATTAGTGGTTCCGAAGTGCTTCTAGAAGAGTCACCATAATATAAATATGGAGAGCAAGTTACTACCACCAGCTTATAGATGAGAAGATGAAATTTTTAAAGGACCAATTTCCAAATATCAATTTATTGAAGAACAACAAGGATCATGAAATTTTACCAAATATAAACGTTTGTACTTTCATAATTTGGGTCCAATTTATTGAAAAAAGTTTTGGTCACGTCAAAAATTTGATTTAAAAATAAGAACTCGAAGCCTTGTAGACCGTTTGGTCAACGAAATTGTTTTTGGGACTTGCAAAGGGCAAGAGAGAAAGCACGTATCCACTTTTCTGGCACTTGGAAAGACAAGTGTAACAGGAAAAATCCATGGTCATCGCAAGATTCCCATGTCACTCATCGTCAAGAGATTGAAGGATTTGTCTAAAGATCATCCCGAAAACTTGATTGTAAGTTGTCGATATTTTTATGGAATTTTTATTTTTCTAAATTGTAATTGTCAAGTAATGTCTACTTTTTTTGTTCACAGATATACACCAGCAATGAGTACCTCACCACTCAAAGGTGCGCAGTATGTTCTCAGCAGCTGCACATTGGAAAGAAGCAATGCAGCCAACGGGCAGACTGACTGCCTCACTTACAGGAACAGGAACGCATTTTCCAAATGGAATCGGGATGTGGTAGCGGCCAAAAACACTCTCCAAAATACTATTTTGATGTGCAGCCTGCCCCAGGGAGCATAAGATATCGCCAGGTCAGAAAATTTCCGGTATCCAGCAGGCCAGTTCATCATCATCGAGGCTGGAGTACGGTTACAAGGACGAGGTTGGTATCATTCCCATCGTCACGAAATTGTCATTCTTTAGGAGCGCAGTACTATAATTACTTGCAACTATCCTTTTTACTTTTCAGTTTCTAAGCGCCACTCAAATCCGTTTTTTACGGACAAAACTACTGCTGCTTTGCCGCGCGAGAGGTCTCCCGGCCAACAAGGAGGCAGGCAAGGTTCCTTTAGAACGAGCTCTAAAAACCGCAATTTTTCGTACCTTACCCGTTAATTAAAATATATAAAATTAAACATATTTGTAAATTAAAAGATATTAAATTAAAGTGCAGTAACAGCTTGAGTATGTATTTTCTGGCTCGTAATCGTCAGTTAACTGCATTCCTCGTCTTCCCATGCGATGCCTAGCTTCACTGGTGCCATTGCCACTGTTAAAAGGCTTGAAGGCATACGTGTCCCAGAGACCTGGTGTTTGTATGATCTAAGTAAACATAATTATGATTATCATTATGGCTCCTGTTTGACATAAAATATAAAATTTACAGCCACAAACCTTTTGTACAAGTTCTTCGAAACAGCATTTAACACCATCTGCTGTTTTAGCACTGCTCTCAATGTAAAGTGTTTGATGTCTTCTGGCAAACTGCAAGCCTTCTTCGGTACTCACTTGCCTATCAGGCAGATCAATCTTATTGCCCACTACCATTTTGACAATATCTGTTTTATTACAGTATGTATGCAATTCGTTTAGCCATGTGTCCAACCTTGTGAATGTACTTCTATCTGTCACGTCATAGACTAAAATAGCACCTTGACCATCACGATAGTAATTTGGTGTTAAAGTACGGAATCTTTCTTGCCCAGCGGTATCCTGAGAGCATATTTAATGTAGATTGTTACAAAAAGACATTCATTTTCGTGAATACATCAGGTAAATTTTTAAAGTTACGATGTAAGACAAAAAGAAAAGTGAGCAAAATTATTGCAGAGGCAATAAATGTAAATAAAAAACGAAAGAATTTGACATTAACAAGAATTTTATAAAACGTTCGGTACATTATGACATGAAATAATAATGGTAATCACTTCATGAGGATTACTCCAACTAAGGATGCACCTAATGCCAAAAGAAGGTTATTTAAAGGAACGCCATGCAGAGAGAGTTTGATGAGTCACAAAAGTAGATTGCGCATAATATAGATATATACAATACCCAAATGGCCAGCTTGACCGTGTTGCCATCGATGGTGAGCTTTTTGGTTTTATAGTCCATTCCCACTGTGTTTTGTATATTGTCGTGAAATTCATCTTCTGTGAATCTCAGCAAAATACTGCAATAAAATGTATGATATAAGATAAATGTAAAGCAATACAATAAAGTCAAGGAACCAAAAAAGAAGAAATAGTTAATCCAAATCCTCTCCCTTTTTGTCAACTCCAAAAAAAAGAGCCCATCTATAAATAATCTCACGCCCAAGCTTGGTAAGTTTATCTGCTAATGTACCTAGATTTTCCAACATTCGTCTCGCCAATCATCAAAATCTTGAGTATCGTCAGAACATCGTCTTGGTCCATCCCAGCCATCGCAGGTAACAGCAGGAGTACAGTAAAACAACGAGAACACTTGTAAAGTATCTTCACTCTCTGTATTGCAGTATAACTGATATACTGAGGCACAACTACTGATGGGAAAAATGTAAAAATAATAAATATGTCAACAGAACGTTTAACTGCGCAACAAATTCAATGAATCTTTGCCACTTGTCGCGTCACTTTAACTCGCAGAAGCGCAGTTCCTTATGCTATACTAAAGTAGTTATTTCATGTTGTTTTTTTTTATCGATGATACTATGGTCACTGCAGACAGCTGATTGTTGTTGATTATAATTACTCACCTAAGGCCATTTTACAAGTGCTTAGAGCTTTTCTGGTAGTTTTTTGACGTCAAGAAATACAAAAGCATGATGAAACTGTATAGTTGCGTTTTTATAATTTGACGTCAGAGAACAAGACAAAAGCACACGCCGTAGAGCCACGGTGGAGGTACGTTGTAGACTAACCCTAGTTAGAGTAGAGTGTCCGAAAGTCACTGATTATCTCCGCCATTTTTGGGGCTAACTGGAAGTACCCCATAGACATATAAAAAATATAGACTGCTCGTCTTACGTACGACGCTGAAGCACGAGTAGAAGGAGACACAGCATCGAACGCGGACATCTGTCTTTTTCGTACATTGATGAAGGTGGGGATGTGCAAGAGAGACAGACACCCACGTTCGATGCAGTGTCTCCTACTTGTGCTTCACCACCACGACCTACGCAACTTTACAGCCTCTGATTTTATCATTCTGGTAGAGCACGGTGTAAAATGTACGTGAAGTTATGTGTAGTAATTTAAGTAATTAAAGTAATTACTACTAAGTAATGCCATATGGTCGATTTTATTAAACCATATGAATATCTGTATTTTTGGAGGTCAACTTTTGGGTAAAAAATTAATTGTAAACTTGCCGCAAACAGCACAAATTACGTTAACTTTTTATTATCTATTTATAAAATTAGTTGCGGCTGGTTTATAACTATTAAAGTGGCTCTAATATAGCAAGTAATGATTATTTGGATCAGCGCCATCTAGCGTTGCGAATTTCTGAACCAAAAAGTGGCCCTAAACTTTTGAACCAGAGCTTTAGCGCGTAGAGCCATTTGGTCAGTTATAAACCAGCCGCAACTCATGACAAAGCTATAAAATAAAAAAATAACGATATATGTGTTTTTGGCGGCAAGCTAACAATCTATTTTCTACTAAAAAATTGACCTCATATGTTTTTATACTTTTAAAGATAAATTTTTAAGCATAAGATAGATTTTTAGCTTGCCGCCAAAAACACATGTATCGTTATTTTTTTATTTTACAGCTTTGTAATGAGTTGCGGCTGGTTTATAACTGACCAAATGGCTCTACGCGCTAAAGCTCTGGTTCAAAAGTTTAGGGCCACTTTTTAGTTCAGAAATTCGCAACGCTAGATGGCGCTGATCCAAATAATTATTACTGCTCCTTATATTATAAGAGCCATTTAATCAATCATAAACCAGCCGCAACTAATTTTTTAAATAGATAATAAAAAGTTGACTTGGTTTATGTTGTTTGCGGCAAGTTTACAATCTATTTTTTTACCCAAAAGTCGACCTCCAAAAATACAGATATTCATATGGTTTAATAAAATCGACCATATGGCATTACTTAGTAGTAATTACTTTAATTACTATACATAACTTCACGTACATCTTACACCGTGCTCTCTTTACCAGAATGATAAAATCAGAGGCTGTAAAGTTACGTAGGTCGTGGTGGTAACGTCTTATTTATTTCTTATTTGTCGATGGAGTACCCAAAGGGGTACTATCCACTCGATCTTTCAATTTAATTTAATTCATTTATCGGCGTATTTTTAATATACATATAACAGTACACTACTGCATGGAGACATTTGATAATATAGTTACATGTATTTTTACATACGTTACGTTAATTTGGGTATAAAAAGGAATTATTGAAACATTCGTGCGTTTAGGATTCTAATGTTATGCTGTGGTGGACAATTCATAATAAAAAAACAATTGTTAAAAACAATTCAAAAAACTTAAAAAATATTGAGTTTACAATCAGCGCCATCTCGCGTGGTTGATTTTGAACTAAAATACACTTTTAGTTTTAGCCGTTTTAGACTTTTAGGTTAGGGGTACTTTTCAGTTCAAAATTAGCTACGTTAGATGGCGTTGAAATAAAAGTATGATAGACTCAGAAATCTAAACCAGCCGCAACTCCTGCTAACAATGACGAACCTAATTTCTTGTTTGTGAGGATCCTAAATAATTTTTTTATATTTTATTCTGGGAAAGAGTTATGTGGTAATAAAAGCAGTGCCATGTGATTGATTTTATAAACCAGCCGAAATTCCCACATTAGAGTGAACAACATAAGTTGTATGATAAAATGTCACAATAATGATATTTTTTTTATAAAAAACTACAAAAGAGAATTCTGAAGTATTTTTAAGAAAACGTTTTACCACCACAATGCTTCCTCTACGAGACTACATTTTACAGACGAATAACTTCGATCAAATTAACATTTTTTTTATTCATTTTCTTGCACACGTGATTCTACAGTTTTTTCAAAAATCGTAGCTTCGGTGACGAATAAGGTTGGATGATAGAAATATTTAACATGTGTTAGCGTACAGTCTAAAAACATCCGATTCTTTCAAACGAGCAAACACGAGGACGACATGAGTAAATTTTGGTATAAATATTGAAAGTCATTAAGTCAGAATACATGCAGACAAAATATTTGCGGCTTGTCTACTATTATTGAACGTGAGAGGCGCGTTTAGCAAATATTGTACTGCCACTTGGTGTTTTATCTACTAAATTACTGTTCTTTTTTTAGCTTTTATTTGTGAACAGTAGTGTTTTCACCGATATATCTTATGATTTGAATTTTTCATTGTCATGCTAAATTAGAAAAGTATCATAATAAGTGGATATCTTCCTTTATTTATTACATAAAATTTAAAAATACCTCGGTTATTTATTTAATACAATAATTTCATCCATGACATTTTTCATTACGCTGCGTGTAGTAGCATACGACTTATCAGCATCACAGTAGTTAACTGATAAAAATAATTTCATATCGATTTATGCATTTTTTATCGAGATTCAAAAACCTGACTTCAAAAAACTATTAATTTTGAAATGCAAAAGATTTGAAATTTAAAAATTTTAATTTGTATCCCAAAATTGTAAATGTAAATTTCAGAAAATTTAATTAATCGTCAAAATTATGGAGAATTGCTCCTAACAAGTCAACTGTTTTTTTCACCCAAGAGTAATTCTAATCAAATATCCTATTACAGCTAATTGTTTTTCTGACTAGTCTATCATCTCGCGTATTTCAGTTGTCCAAACAGTACAGTAGAAATAGTACACATCACTTTAATTACTTAAATGTGCTTATAGTTATAATTACATGTATTATATAATCAAGTAATTAACACTTATTGCTTTATAAAGTTGATGTTATCGTCGATGTCGTACAGTCAGAGAATTTCACCGAAAGCCTCCAAAATGATGCCAACTAATCTACCCACTCTTTTGGCAGCTTTTCTTGTAATACTTGTAAGCAAAGGTATGTTGTAAATTTCTATTATTAGTCTAACTGGAAAATCATGAATATAAAAGCATGATTTGTGTAAATAAAATCGTCACTGTACAACTTTTTTTTTTAAGTGGACTCATATGTATACTTCAAATCATTAATGTAGATGTTATGATAAAACTCTCGTAAATTTTTTAATAAAAATGGTGCTTAAAATATTTTTTTTTTGTATTTGCTACTTGTGCTGTGACAATATCCAAAGTAATAAATCGTCATTTAGAGTACTGTCAAACATATTTATATTTTCTTCTTTTATAATTACCAGATAATACCTACAGCGTGAAAGTATATTAGTTAAAAATATTGAAGGTGGAGGTACGTTGTAGACTAACCCTAGTTAGAGTAGAGTGTCCGAAAGTCACTGATTATCTCCGCCATTTTTGGGGCTAACTGGAAGTACCCCATAGACATATAAAAAATATAGACTGCTCGTCTTACGTACGACGCTGAAGCACGAGTAGAAGGAGACACAGCATCGAACGCGGACATCTGTCTTTTTCGTACATTGATGAAGGTGGGGATGTGCAAGAGAGACAGACACCCACGTTCGATGCAGTGTCTCCTACTTGTGC